GAGGCCCATTGTAACTGACACTGGTAAGAATTAGAATGATTTGTCTAAAATATTTGTTGAAGTTGATTCCAAATTAATCTAAAGAAAACACTGTATATGAAATGCGGGTTTTATCAAGCAAGTTCTGCCTCAATGTTTCACATTTAACATAATTGCGTAACACCTGCTGGTTGAAAATAAAGGCTCATTGAATTTAATGTTTATATTGCCTTTTGATATTGCAGAGATATATAGATGATAAATATATGTTAGAAAGGTACATCAATTTTGGGCCTTAACTTCTTTAACAATACAGTCAAAATTATCCTATACTGTTATTCTATTATATCTCAATTTAGTTCAAAACGGTTTATTTAGTTGTGACAATTCTTTTTTTTGTGATCAGTCAGTCCTTTCAGCATTTTTTATGGCTTTATGTAATTTCTATTAAATACAAAAAAATCGATCTTTCCACAAAAAAAATTGACAGCTGATTAAGTTTGCACAAGGGCTTTTGAACCAAAAAAGAGGGCAAGCATTCTGCAAATGGTTTTCAAGAATAAGTGAAATATGTTCTGTTATTGAAGGGGTCCCTTTAATTTGTTGTGCTCACCACAACAGCAACTAAGAAAACCAAAGACAAAATTATTTAAGCCTTGGAGATGGAAGAGTCCGTCATTCTTCATCAGATTCTCAATAAACAGAACCTTGATTCTGTTTACGTTGTCAGTGGTGATGCAAACCTTACCTTTGCCCTTTTTTCTAACGCTGATTATTTACTTATTATTTACTGTCAGATAAACAAGTTGTTTTCANATTATTTACTGTCAGATAAACAAGTTGTCTTCAATGACACAGGGAGATCCAAAGAGTATATAATGGAGATGCATCATTCAAACCAGACTTGATAAACTAAATCAGGAGAACATCATCATCAGATGGCAACATAAAAAATTTTAATAGCAACAATTGCGTATGAAATAAGAGGTTAAAGCCATAATCCATTATGGTCGTTCAAGAAGCATTGAAGCATACCACCATAAGAATGGCGGGGCAGGAAGAGACACGCCTGACCTGTGCACTGCAGTAAATTGTATTAATTATTATCCAGTGAACCATCTGCCATTGTGAACACACCCAATACAACAGACAAATACGTTTTCCATGCATGTATGGCCGGTTTACTGTGTGTGTTTACAGTTTTTGTTGAAACACTTGGCAATATTTACGGATGCGGACCACTGAGGAAACGCGTGTGCCTCAATATTAAATTTGGCCAGAAAAAAGGTTATTTGGGGGCGATTTTAATTGTATATCAACTTGATTTTGTATGTTGGTTATTTGTAACAGCAATTTTCGATAATTTCAAACACATAGGGTTAGAACTAAACCATAAGCTACGATACGAGTTTTGTCACGCCCGAACATGACACGCAATTTTGTTCACTTTTCTGTCTGACCACTAAAATCGGGATAGGAACTGG